ACACATACTAATGGACATGAAAAACCATATAAGCACTAATACAGTAGTAATGGGGGACCTCAATACCCCATTGTCACATATAGATAGATCAACTAGACAAAAAACCAAGCAATGAAAATACTAGAACTCAATAGAACTATTGAAGATATGAACCTAACATGTTTATAGAGTGTTTCACCCCACAAAATCAGAATACACATTCTTTTTGGCTACACAAGGGTCATTCTCCAAAATAGACCACATACTCGCACATAGAACATATTTAGGTAAGTGCAAAGGACCTGAAGTTATCCCCTGTATATTATCAGACCATAGTGCAATGAAACTGGAGAGGAACATCAAAAGAAACTGCAAAAACTTCATAAACACATGGAAATTGAACAATACCCTTCTGAATAACCAATGGGTCACAGAGGAAATTAAAGAAGAAATCAGACAGTTCCTTCAATTAAATGACAATGACAGTACAACATATCAGAATCTATGGGACACAATGAAAGCAGTCTTACGAGGGAAATTCATAGCAGTGAATAATCAATCACATTAGGAAAACAGAGCATGCCCAATTAAACAACCTGATGCTGAACCTCAAGCTTCTAGAAAAAGAAGAGCAGGACAACCCAAAAGCTCATCCAAGGGAGGAAATTATAAAGATCAGGGCAGAAATCAATGCAATGGAGACTAAGAAAACAATGCAAAAAATTCAATGAAGCCAAGAGTTGGTTCTTTGAAAGAATCAACAAAATTGACAAATCCTTAGCCAACCTTATCAGAAAAAGGAAAGAAAAGGCCCAAATCAATGCAATTAGGAATGAAAACTGAAATTACAACAGACCTGGCAAAAATCCAGAGAATCATCAATACCTACTTCCAGAACCTATACACCAATAAGATGGAAAACAAAAGAAATGGATAGATTCCTAGACACGTATGAATTACCGAAGTTGAATGAAGAAGACCTAAAAATTCTAAACAACCCAATATCAAAGCAATTGAAAATGTAATTAAAAACGTACCAACCAAGAAAAGCCCAGGTCCTGATGGCTTCACCACTGAATTCTGTAAGACATTTAGAGAGGAACTACTGCCACTAATGTTTAAACTCTTCAACAAAATTGAAAGGGAAGCAATACTCCCGAAATCATCCCTGGAAGCAAACATCACCTTGATCCCCAAAGCAGAGAAAGACCCAACCGAAAAAGAGAACTATAGGC